CCAGCACTAGCTTCGACCGTGACAAAATAGCCCCTAGAACCATATTTGGCAACCCACTCTTGATTGGGGTAAACCTCATACAAGTTTTCACCATGTGGTCGCACATTGTACCTTGTAGTCAACTGAAACTCATCACGAAACTTCTCGTACAAGTCCCTAGTATACGATCTGTACGCCTGCTTCTCTATTGGGTAAGACAACCACATTTCAGTCTGTAAATGTGCTGTCCTGTAGTCTTTTGAACCCTCCCGGACTAGTATGTGTGTTTGGATTTTCTGATATTGCTTCACAAAGTTCAAAATGGACTTGTGTGGGTTCACATATCGCTTAAGGACAGCATTGAACCCCTCGCTGCGTTGAGTTGACTGCAAGAAAGGGAAGAATTGGTGCTTGAAGTAGCAGGGTACCATGTCTCTCTGTACTTGTACAGATTCTCGAAGTGAGAGTCAATCATAGCCTCATACTTCATCATCAGCTCACTCCACCCTGCCTCAAATTCTTCCGGCGTCAAGCTAAAGTCAACACAGGTGTTGAAATCCTTGGATAAGCCAGGGTTTCGCCCCAGCAATGCTCCAAGCTTTTCTTGTGCCTTTTTCATAATATGCCAGCGGCAACAGCGGTGCACACTTATAGGAAAGATCTTTTTAATTGACTGTGCCATTGCGATGTCTTGGTCGGTTATGATGTTGGTGGGCACTACATTATGCATTGCCTCAAGGAAGGTTTCGAATAGCCAATCAAAGCTTGACGCCAACTCTTGCCTAACAAAGCCACATCCCAACATGAATGACTGCCCATGCCTGTTAATCCCAATGAATGGTGCAAAGGGCATGTTGTACATGTTAGTCATATATGTTGTGTCAAAGGAGATACAATCATGATAAGATTCCACGTACGCCTTCCTTGTTGCACCATCGACCCAGAAAATATTCTCAACCCTGTCTTCCTCATCATATTTTATCTTGTAAAAAAAAATCTGGATCCTCTCTCTGCTGATCTTTAAAGTAAGCAACTGTCTCTATCATATCCCCTTCTTTTGTATCATCCTTGTTCAAGAGCGTCTTGAGGTTTGTAATGTGTTTTGTGCTATAAGGTACAATGAGTTCTGTCCCATAGAAATCTGACATGATGTGCATCATACGACCTGTTGACATGAAAGTCACAATGGTGGTCAATCCTTTATCCGCACAACAACAGCGCCAAAAATAGCTTCTTTTTTTGTTTTCAGCAAGGCAACTCAAATGCAAAGCTTGGGCAATTCATGAAGCTATACAAGCAACTACAACCATACGCCTCAGGCAACACATGAGCAAAATACACAAAACAAACCAGGGGGTAACTATGCTTTAGTGAGCAAGTTTAGGTTCAACACCAAATTTATTTTATAAAAAAAGTAGGCAAGTAGGAACTTTTGCATTGAGCAAGAAATATGTAAATATTAGGCAAGTCCAGCATCCAGAAACAAATTAGGCATTTTATCTCTTTTTGTACTGTTATAAGCAATTTAGTGTCACTATAAAGCAACTAAGGCATATGTTTGAAGCAAATTAGTGACATGTGTTCAAGCAAAATCAAGTAACTTGTTGATGGGCTAAGAAACACACAACCAGTAGGCATGTCCAAGTTCTTAAAGTTGGAAGATAGGGGGGAGGTGGGTGTGGTTCAAAACCTGTAGTCAAATTGCAGTTATGAAGGTGAGTAAGGAAGGCCCTTTCTTCTGGCGGTATCCCTTGGTGTGATCGCAAATACTTAGTCAAACATGGTTTGTCAATCAACAGATGATTGTGCTTGCTAACAAAGTAGATCACCTCCCATCTGCCATCTATTACCTTCACAATCATCTTAGCTTTGCAACCAGTTTGTACAATTTTATCTCTTTTTCGTTTCTTGCTGCTCTTTTTGCCCTTACTATCATCATCAAGAAAGACAATAGCCTCATCTTCATTATCATCTTTTGCTTGTTCAACAATGTCATCTAGCATGGGAATCTTTTCTGCCCCTCCGTCATCAACACCAGGCTTTCGAAACTTGTTGCAAACAAACTGTTGTTTTATCAACTCCCCAGTTTTCATATCCTTCCTTGAACTATTCATTTTGATTGAAAACCCCATCTGCAAGGAATATGCATTGTAATGCACCTTGGCATCTTCCAAAGTGTCGAACCTCATACCCACGTAAGGCTCCTTGGGCTGTGACCAAGCTTCATCATCATTTTCAGCACCCAAACCATTACCAACAGTGCCACCGGTATCACCTGCAGCACCTGTGCCATCAAGGGTATGAGCATCACTCCCAGCTGCTACAGCTGTAGGTACTTGTGTACTGCCCGGAGCACGCCCCCATGACTTGATTGCCGATCTCTCTCCATTGCTTCTGTAGCAGCACCATCCACTCTTTGTATGATAGGGGGATTAGGTGATTCCGCCACAAGTTCTGCATTTCCAGTAGCATGTTGTGTACAGTACAAAGGATCATCATTATTTTCAGCTGGTTTCTCATTTAGGTCAATCATCGCCAACCTGTGTTTATTTATTGAGAATATGGGAAAAAGTAAAGCAAGTCAGCAGAGGGATGGAAGCAAGTAGCACAGTAAATACAGGCAAGCCAATAGCACACCTACCCCAAGCACACAAAAATAGCTCAATCATGTTCAACCTGTGCATTTTTTGAACCAGAAAAATCAAAGCAATTTTTATGTTGTTGAGGCAAGCTAGTACCACACTAAACTCAGGCAAGCAAACAACACAGCAACGCAAGCACACCAGATTCATAAGATAGCAATTGAACATAACCAGGCAATTCAAATTGCACTATCAGGCAAGTCAAACTATATATGTCAGGCAATATATTATATTTCAGGATATGTATGTTTTTTTTGTATTAATGAATCATGTTTGTACATATAAACATAACATAAGCTATTTGTTTTTTGTGTTTTCATAATATATTTTCTTATTTTGTTTTTTCTTAAACGCATGTAACAGTTGATTTTTGGGGAAGCAAGCATACTGCCATAGAAGTGCTACTTTTGAAGTGTCTTCAGAATGGATTTCACTCCCAAATCAGAGAGATTAGAGCATGTTTAGTGTTAGGAAAAACTTAAGTTAGAATTATGGGCATGATTGCTCTTTTATATTCAGACTACTTCTGCTTTTCAGTACCTATGTTTGTGTGTTAGAAAGAACTTAAGTTGACATTTTTAGGTTTCATCTATTTACAGCAGCAAGTTTGTGTGTTTTTGGATATGCTCAGTATGTTTTGAACTTAGATAGTTACTGGTATATGGATTTTCTTTGTTGGCTTTTTCCTCCTTTTGCAGGATGAAATACTAATAATTTTGCCACTGTATCCTGGCAACTTTCCAGCTTTTCTTGGATCATGGTGAAGAATATGATACAACAAAGGTAAATTGTAATACGCAACTATCTCTTGTTTTTTAGTTGCAATTTTAGTTACATTTATTTTCTTCTAGTGTTTTTCACTATAGAAACCAAGGAATAATGGAAACAAATGACCAAGAGGAATCTTTCTCTAGTTTTCTTCAAGAGTTTGACATCATTATGCTTTTTTGCTTAATCATATAATGCAAAGGGAAATCCTTGTTTTCCCCTTCTTTTTCATAGTGATGTCAGTATTTCATTGTCTTATAAATTTCAACAGTGTTCATGTTTTGCCATGGCATAAGTTTTCAAAGTTTTGTGCATACATATACTTAGTTGCCTCATCATAGCACTGGTTTTGCCCAAACATAATGTCTTTTTTGCACTGTTATAAGCAATCAATAGAACCGGAACACGTCAGAAATAGATCATGATCAGTTGTTTCTCATCCTCTTAATAAGTACTGTTTTTGCTCAGTTTTTTTTCTTGCTTAAGGCATTATATTTTCCTAATATTTTTGTCCCCAGCATTTACTATCAGCACTTGCCTACAGATTTTATAAATGTGTTCATACGCAATAGATTTGTAAATAGATGTTGAAAACTGGGAAGAAATATCATGCTTAACATCAGACTGAATTTTGCCCAAATTAGGGGCTAAAACTTGCCTAAAACAGCAGACTAAACATGCTTAACATCACATCTTTCTTACACAATGTTTTGCATAACTGAAGCCTTTTAAAATTCGTGGGGAAAGAGGAGGAGGATCTGAAAGATGAGCTAAATCTAACCTTTTTGCCTTGCTTTTTTGCCTTTTTGCAAGGCAATCAGGAACAAGGCGCCTAGAGAAGAAACATCAATGGAGCCGCCATTGGAGGCCTCTGAAGCTTTTCTTTTGGATCTGGAAGTGGTGAGGAGAAGGGGCTTGCTGTCCTTTTTTGCTTGGGAGAGAAGAAGATGGGGCTGGAGAAAGGCAAAGACCCGCAGGGGTGGGGGAGGGATCGGGCGAAGGGGGGACCAGGTGATTTGCTCGCTTCGATGGGTGGCTGCTGGAATCGGTAGCGGGGGGCCAGGTACTTTTCTATCCTGGTGAGGGGGGACAGAAAATTGCTATATATGGGTGGCTGCCAGGAAACGCTAGGGAGCACCCGGCTGCTCCCTAGACGCGTCCTTTGTAAATTTATGAGTGGCAACATTCCTAGAGCGATGGAGCAAAGACACATTGAATTCCACCAGCGATTTGAGCATCTCCTTGATCTCTTGCCCCCAACGCTCCACCGCGAGTTGAGCCAAAAACGGATCTTAAATCAAACACTTGGTTAAAAAATATACGAACCATCCGTGTTTGGGCCAGAAAAATGAACATGTTGTACATAGATATTTTTTATGGGTGTGTGTTGTGCGGTGCAGGTTAATCTGTACAAAGTGCAAGGTTGTCTCTGCAAAAAGGGCACAGCCTAACTTTCGACCAAATTCTGGCCCAGATCGAATTCGACTCGACTCGAAACGCACGCAACCCGTTCACTGGCTAGATCTAGGGTTTCATCTCCGCGCCCTCTCTCTCCGATCGATTCATCTCCGCACCATCTCTCTCTCCGATCGATCCTGGCAAGCAGCTGTGATGGAGAAGGGCCTGGACACGGCGGCGACGAAGCGAGGATCCGAGGCCGAGGCGGAGGAGCCGGGGCGGAAGAAGGCGGCGGGGGCGACCAAGACGGCGAAGGTGGTGCCGTGGCTGATGGATTCGTTCGACCAGATGTTCGACGAGGTGAGGCTGAAGCATGCGCTGGCGAGGCTGAACAAGGCGAACCCCGGCGCGCCGCCGGTCGTGCCGGAGGAGCTCACCGAGGAGAGGCGGGCGGCGCTGCTGCAGGAAGATACGGAGTGGAGGAACAGCATGAAGGAGGAGGAGCTCGCGGCCGCGCGGAGATACGTGGCGGAGCAAGCCCGGGCGCCACCGTCGCCGGAGGAACCCACCGACCCCAGCAAGGACAGGTGGCAGCTGGATTATGACCTTGGCCGCCAGGAATTGGAAATGAAACTGGCAAAATGGGAGGACTTCGAGGGCTTCGACTTCGAGCGCAACAGTAAGTGCGATTCAGTCATGTTCCTCCATGCATAGTAGATACATCCATACATACATACACAGATTTAATTAGGATCAGAACTGTGCAACAATTCTGTCGATTCGTGCATATGTTTCACTAGGATTGTCTGTAATCTTTAACTAAATTGACTTGTCTGCAGCGCTTATCCCTCCCATGTGTTTCACCGACAACCCAATGCCTGATGACACCGACCACAGGCTTACTGTGCAGATCTTTACCGTCAAGGTAGCGGGAATAGATGGGGATTTGCAGTGGCCTCTGGATGTGTTTGGTATGGTCGCTGTGCGCGACAAGCTGGATTACAGTCGCAATGTTATCTTCAACCGCACGAGGGACAACTGCCAAACCCTCACTCAACAGGTTCTTTTGTTTCGTCCTTGCTGCTGAGCATAGTGCAATGTTTTCTGTTAATTATCCTTTGCGCACCTACCTATCTTCTTTTTTACCCCATACATAGAGATCATGTTGTTGTTATGCCCATTGAGGCAACTCTGACCGGTTTAATTGAATCAGGTGCCTTTGTTAATGAGCTGTTAGAGGGTACCCCCTCTGTAAGGAAATATAAGAGTGTTCAGATCACTATTTTAGTTATCTAAATGCTCTTATATTTCTTTCCAGATGGAGTATATTGTATTATAGTACTTGACATGTGACTATCCAACTTTATTGCTTTTTGGCAAATACCATGCTTTTCAAGTGTAAAATTTCCATTTGTACTGCTTAGTCCAGAACAATATAGACAACTCAATCTGTTGTGAACCGAACAAACCTGAGGCAATTATGTAAAAGTGCTGGTCATATAGAAGTTCAACGTAAGAGCATCTACATGCGGACTTGGCAAAACCGACCCCTCAAACGCCCGAGGACGCGCCCGGGCGTGTTTGTGGACACTAACCGGTCAAGCCTCAAATTTCCCTTCTCACAATCGGACACCTCAATTAGCATACCTCAAATCCATACAAACTCATGCAACTACGTAAACGATGCATTACACACATTGTCCGACTACTACGTCACAACATGCCATTGGACTACCAAAATTTGGCATGTTCGGCTATGGCGGAGAAGATCATCCACGGCTGCCCTTGCCCTTCCCGGCTACGCGCCATTGCCGTCCTTCTCGCGGAAGTACCAGTCGAAGACGCAGTACGGATTTAGCCGGATCTGCTCGTTGCCGAAGCTGTCCGACCCGTCGCTGTCCACCCTCTCCTTCTTGGGTGGCAGTCCGGCCATGGCACGGACCACTCGATTCTGCTCTCGGGCGAGGCGTGCTCGTTCTTCTGCGGCCGCCCGTGCCGCTGTATCAGCCGCCTCTGCCGCCGCCATGCCGGTAGCGAGGCGGGCCTTGTCTGCCCTCATCCTCTCCTTCCCATGGCGGGCACACCAGTCCCGGTGGGACTCGCACTCCGCCGGACCGGTGATATGGAAGGGGAGATTTGAAGGCTCCCGTGACCGCGATGATCCAGCCCCGAAGGATCCGAGTGCCCGATGCACCGATGCTATGGAGTCGCGCCAGACAGATCCTGCCATTGGCCGGGCGCTGTCCTCCCGGGAGCGGCGGAGTGCAATGCGGACGGCCATTGCCTCCAACCCGCATGGGACGACACCCTAGTCAACGGATCCACACTGGTCGGAGTCAGATCCGCTGCCCGGCATGGCGGAGAAGGCCGGAGATCGCCGGACGAGAGCTTGGGTGGCAGAGTGGAGTGGAGGGGTGTGGAGTAGAGTGGCTAGGGTTTGGTTCAGGAGGGGATCGGGACGAATATATGTGGGGTTGGGTGGGCCAGCGTGGGCCGGATCTGACGTGGCAGACGCGCCTGGGCATCCGCCCCATATTTGGGCTGGATATGAGGGACCCTGAGGTGCCGGTCAGCCCGGGCGTTTGAGGTGGGTTTGGGGCACCCGGCTGTAGATGCTCTAAATGGTTAACTATGAGGATTAAATGAATATTAATTTCTACTCCCTCCGTCCCATAATGTAAGCCTTTTTTTAACACTAGTGTAGTGTTAAAAAATGTCTTACATTATGGAACGGAGGGAGGCTGTAGATGCCATATAATGAATCACCATGGAGACCACATCACATATTAGAATGCATGACAATCGATCTTACTTTCTATATCATAGTCTTCCATTTGCTAGTTTAGAACAAATCTGAACAAGATTATAGTCTATGCCATTTTGGGTGTCAACTTAACCAATTGTGTTGTATGCAGGATCCATATTTGGTACTGGTAGGTCCTACCCGTGCTGTGCTCTATAGTGGGTATGTGTACTTTGATGCCATGCTGAAAGTGAAGGGAAGGACAGAATTTGAGGACACTGATCTAAGCCTTGTATTTGAGCGCTTCTTATGCTGTGAAAAGCTCAATTTATGCGTAAGCTTTGGAGAGTGCATGCTCCGTTCCTGCGTGAGTAGCAGTCTCTACACCAGCAAGCTTAGTACATTGGAGTTAACATGTGGCCTCGTTGTGTCTTCTGTTGAGGCCACCATCGCCGCGCAGATCGTCAAGGGGTCATGGCCAGAAGGGTCCCGAGGCCAGCTTACTGCCTGTATCGGCAGTGTGGGTGACATGAATGTCATGCTGCTCGACTCTAGAGAAGAGAAGTTGCCTGTTATTGCTGCTGATGGCACAATTCAGCTCTCGCGCCGTGTTGTGTCTGTTGAGAGGTTTGGCCAACTGATAGTCCGTGGCGTGGTGAATCGAGGTGGTGGTGACCATGACAAGGTTCTGGCAGAGGGTAAGGCATCCTTTGCGCCTCTTGATGCAGGTCGAAGCCGTGGTACGCTTGATCTTAACGGCATGTGTAAGCTGGAAATCACTGTCGCCTGGTCTCTTATCCTGAAGTACCCACCGGTTGGTGGTCTACCTCCAACCAGTTGATCAAGGGAGGCTCTTTGGTGCTGGAGATTGCCTGACATAGCCTGACGTTGTCCTTTTATTTATGTCATCGAACATGTAACTAATTAATGATCTGTGGAGGCTGTTGCTTGCAATAGTTCATCTGAAATTGCCTGAGATTATGTTGTTATCTATTCTGTGTCATGGAACCTTTGTTCACCTGTGGAGTAAGTGTGTGTATGGCATTGTGAAGTGTTGCGTTGGCGTGGAAGTTGACTGTTTAATGACTCGCCCCCAAGTCATTGTTAAGTTTGTGTGAAAAGGTGTTGTGTTATACAAGTATAAATGATGACATTCTGGTTTATATGTACTACTAGTATAGTTGCAGTACCAAGTTCTTGCATTGTGTTGTGGCTTTCATACAAGCAAGTCATTTTATTTGAGAAAACGATCTGACTTTGTAGATGGTGATGGAGTTTTTCTTCTTCAGAGTAACACCAGTTGGGTGCAAGAGGCGTTGCAGCACAAACACAGTGGAGATAATGTTATTGTACCAAACAAACGCAGTTAAAAACATGCCACGTTCCGCGGTCTAGTCTAAATGTGGATTGCTGAACTACATCTCAACGCATACTTGCTTATTTATTTAACCCCAGGTTCATAAGCATATACACAATACAATGTGGTGTGGCATGTAAGTGGAACTAGACGATTTCATGCAGATTATTTATGGTTTCTACAGCTCTTGTGAAGATGCAATGAGGTTGTTGTGGAGTAGCTGCTTTCCAACAGGCAAAGGCAAGCAACCATGATCGAGGGAGGGAGCGCAAGATCAAGGCAAAGGCAGCATGGACAAACCTGATGAACGGAGTTCATTGGACTTGGCTGTGCAGACGCTCCCTCCCGCGCATTATTGTCAGTCAGGACGGTGCACATTCTCTAGTTGCTGGCTATGCAAAAGCGTGGCGACATAACATAGCCTAATTCTGGGAGGAAGGAGCGGTTTCATCAGTAAGTAGTGGTGCCATAGTATATACACAAAAACAGCCCTAATGCTAACAGGCAGACAGATCATTAAAGCATTTTGTTTGAGAATAGCTTGCATTCAGTCATGTTAGCTAGCTTGCATTCAGTTAGCCAATATCAGTTTGATGCTGCTGTCTGAAGAGGAAGGGACTTGTCAAAAACATTAAAGCATTTTGATATCAAGAACAGGGGATGCCCAGGAGCCAATGTTTGCATGCAGTTTGGATCATCAGTGTATAAATGAAACAACATCCAGGCACCGTTACATATTAGCACACACGATCACATATTTCAACCCATACAAACTCAAATAAAGCAACATTCGCTACAGAAAACACAAGATATATATATATAGGAACTCCTCTCCACTGCCGAGGGAGATGCAGCGAAAACATGAAAAACTCGGAGCCCCAGACCGAGATTGTCGGAATCCCCAACCCCAGCAGGAGTGCGGTTCCCAGGGAAAGAGCCTATATCTCGCTGTCAAACGGATGTCTTTGCTGGATGTTGGGGTAACATTTGCATCAGTTATACAAATCTCTCTCTAAAGTGCAAGGTTAGCCATGCGCAAAAGTAAATACTACTCTTCCCCTCTCAACCCTCAGTCACATCCTCCACCACAGCTGCCATTATCTGGGCTTTCTCATCCAAGTTAGGGAACCGGTCTTGAAAATCAGCCGGGTACTCAACATTGATGTAAGTCTCTATGGTTTCACCTTCGAGCAAGATAAGGCAGAGCTGGCCATCCGGCCCAATCACCTCATTCAAATTGTTGATCCCACAGCCACTCACACACGACAACAACTTCGGATGCACGTCAATTGCATCCCTTGCCCTGACCCTTTTTCGATTATCCAGTGCACATTTGGACAACTTGCTCCAAGACCTCATGAACGTCCAAAGAATGCCAGCAATACTAGTATCTGTGCAATAAGGATCCATTAGCCTACCAAGCGTGCCATGAGCTACCACACGTATCCACGTCACCTCGCACAAGATAATCACCGCACAGAAGAGCACTTGCTCCTTCTTTTTCGTGCTTGATGCTGGGTCAGCTAACACGTGAAATATATTGAGCGGAACGGTGTACTGTCCACCAGCCATCTTGAGACTCTCGTTGTGAGACACCTTGATAGGCATTTCTTCGCAATCATCTTCATGAAAGAAAGAAGGCATGTATTTCCATTGGCCTTTGAAGTAAGACCAGCTGCTCCATGGGCCTCCGAGAACAAACCGACGAGTGGCGAGCATGTACATGTTTTGATCGCAGAACAACAGGTCGACAAGAGTCCCAGGCATGTCGGGGTTGACTTGCCTCACTATGTGATAGCTCCGTCCGCCTATCGGATGCACCGGCGGTGTCATGGGACAACCTTTGTACGCAGCTGGGCATATGAGAAACTCCCGTAGCTTCTTTCGTCGTAGAAGCACCTTGAGCCCTCTAATACCCGACGTCACGTCCCATTCAATTACCAGGATATCCTGCATATAAGTTCCACATTAGTGATCGAAAACAAACCAAAGTCTGGATGTAACAGCAATGTTTAAGGCACAAATAGAAGAGTGCAAGATGTAACAGCAATGTTGAAGGCACAGATAGAAGAGTGCAAGATGTAACAGCAATGTTGATGGCACAAATAGAAGAGTGCAACACATCATTATCCAAGTAAAACAAGATACAATTGTAAGGCCAGATGCACTGATCCCACCACTAATGAATGTGGTGCTCCACTTCCATCACAGATCAATCGATCATATTCATACCTCCAATCTTTGCTGCAGTGGGGCGTGGGGGAGCATCGCGCCTCAACTTGAAACTCAGATGTGGCTTAAACCTGTCCTGTCCTGTTCAGATGGCAGTCCAAAACTGACTAGTATTAGTTGTTAATTCAGGCCAAAAAACAAGACTTTTTTGGAAGTTTGCACAGGGCAGGAGCATTACAAATTAAGCTGGAGTAGTTGATTCGAAAGAAAAGTGTGATTTTTTGGAGGATTTCACAGCAAGCACAGGGAAAAACAGAGATATATTCAGATTTGGAGTTGTGCTGCTCCAGTTTGGATCCAGTAATGGTACTAGCAGCGGGGCTCCATCCATATAGCACTGGCTGATACTGTTGCGCGGCCTTGCACTTTTCTTACTGCCCTGCGTGACCTGATGTGCCGCTGCCACTGGGCCATGGCCCGCATGTCATTGGAGGTAGCTTTGCTAGCTGCCCCTCCTCCTCTGCCAGTCCATTCCATGCTCCTCCTTTTTGCTGACACAAAACCCAGGCCAGAGCAAGGAACCACGCTACCACGGCTGGGTGTGTGTGCGCCGTGCCCGTTGCGTGCATCGCCGTCGCGTCTTGGGTCACTCCGCTCCCATCCTCCCGTCCATGCTTGACGACCCAAGTCCGTGCCGGCCAACCATTGTGCATGCATGCTCCGATGCTCGCACTTCGTCCATCACCGTCGTGTCCGTCTACCAGGGCCCGGACCATGTTACCTCTCGTGGCCTATCCATGGCAAATAAGCGCCATGCTATGCACATCAAGGTTGACCGGCCGGGGCGCGCATTGGCATCGCCGCGCACTTCGCGGCGGCGCCTACTTGGGCGGCAATGAGCACGCACGCACGTCGGCTGCCCCAGCCGACTCGTCCAGTACATGCCCCGGAGCGGAGGCCGGAGCTCGATCTGGTTGGCCAGCTCCGTCCAGTGCCGCGTCCGGCACGTCGGTGTCCTTGGCAGGCCGATCCACCATGAAGCCGGTCCACACCAGCAGCGCGCCTTCATCTGGCGCCTCGCCCTCGAGGGCCGCACCCCGCCACAGTCCAACACCGGTGGTTCGCGAGCGGGCGCCGGCCGCATGCAGCCTTCATAGTTGAGACTGGCGAATGGCGATGCCGTCGAATAAAGGCCCTTTGGTGGAAGCCGCGGCCCTCAGAAAGGGGAGCAGATCCCGGGTAGACAGAGACAGACAGACACGCCGTCGTCGACGCGACGTGCAGGATCTACGGCTTCCCTTCCATTTCTTCTTTCCTGTGTCATTGCCACACAATTGAGGTATGAAGAACACCTGCCGCGATTGCATCTGGACCATCTTTGTTGTCACAGATCGATGATCGATCCCAGCCGGCCGGTGAAGCAGCGCACCTGTCCCGGTCTTTCCGGCTCAACCTGACGTCAGAGGGAGCCGAGTTCCACTGGCTGCCGCGTACAGTGTGTGACAACTGACAAGAATGAAAATATACTAGTACTGACAGGATGCATCAACCTCGCACTCGACCTGCCAATTACTCCTGTTCCTTTTAGCCAGATGAAAGCTTGAGAATTTCCGGGGTTTCCGGCATTTCCTTAGGGCATCTCTCTAGATCCCGCAAAACCATCGTCCTACAAATTTCGTTTACGTCATCTCGTAAACAAAATTTGCGGACACGGCGGATAGAACAGATCCGTAAAACCGCCCTTCTACAAATTTCTTTTGCGGTATCTCGTCAACAAAATTTGCGCACGTCGAGCACACAGACAGAATAGATCCCGCAAAGCCGCCGTCCTACAAATTTCGTTGACGATATCTCGTCAACGAAATTTGTAGGACGGCGGACGCGTAGACAGAACCCCGAGTAGGTGCGTGACATTCGAAATAGCAGTTCACGCCACTTAAACATCACCGGAGTTCATACTGCGCCACATAACATAGTTCATACAAGCATAATAAAACGTAAATTAAACACAGTTCATACCGCCCCACATAAACATAGTTCATACAAGCATAATAAAACGGAAAATAAACATAGTTCATACTGCGCCACATAAATATAGTTAGCTCATACTTAAACTACATCAACTCGTCATCACACCATCGCTCGACCTGCCGATGCCGAGGTGGCTCCATGAGGGAGTTGGAGAGGATGAAGGCGAGCTGGTACTCCTCCTTCAACGCCTCCACCCGTGCTGCTGCAGCTTCTTTCCCGGCTGCGGTCGCCTCCTTCGCCTCGAACCAGGCGTGCTCGACCGCTTGGAGGCACTGGATCGT